GCGGGGACAGTGGGTATCCCTGACGGGCACCATTGGTTGAATGAATCAGTACTATATTCTCAAGTTAACAATAACTGTATCAGTTCTATTTCCATTGAATTGATTCCATAGTTTTACGCTTTAGTTATAATCTTTTCATGGAGTTGATATATTTCTTACTCGAGGTATACTGTATGTGCATAGTTAATAGTGGTTAGTAGTTTGTAGTAGTGTGACGTGTTCTCCCGACAAGATACTGTAAGTAGTATGTTATGTGATATCTTTTTCAAAAATATTGATTAAACGAACAATGGATTACCTTGCGAAAAGGAAAAGCGAAAGATCCTTGTAAAACAATGCAAGTAGCAAGTAGTAGGAAGACAAAAGAATCACAAAACATTTTCAAACGGAGATTTCAAATGTAAGGTTTATGCATTTTGCCAAATAAACAATCTGCTACTAAATATTACCATGTTCTGTCATCACATTAGTCATTGTCATTCACACTGTTTAGTAATAAGAAGCTTAGTAACATTAGGTTTATTTAAAGGCTGGTTTCTAGTTAATGATAAAATTGTCTCTACTAATGTCAACAGTTGAATAAGTTTAACCTATTTACCTATGATCATTCAAACCACTTTAAAAAATAGGAATACAGGAAAATATTCCTCCAAACATTTGTCTTTTCTGAGTATTTACACTTATATCTATTATCATTATTATTATTATTTTCAAGCTGTACAGTCGTATTTATGTTACGGAAAAGGTATTAAATGGCACCAGAAATTTATCAGTCAACATACATAAGATAAGAATAAAAATAATTAAATTAGTGTACTTAGAGGGTAAAGTTGAAGAGGATGAATTAAAAAAAAACTTTTAAAGATTATTAACTAAGTAAACTGGTATAAAGATTTTAAAATTGTAGGTCAGGTGTTGTCTGAAGAATTAAGAGTACGATGACGATAACAATAAAGACAGTTAAGGTGAAGTGAAGTGGGATGAATTCAAATGGTAGAATAGAATAAAATAAACTCACATTACTATGACCAAGGTAAAGAAAGGTGTTTGAAAAAATGTTTTTGAATACATAATTTAGGTTTTTGTTCATGTATAGCTAGCGCTTCGGCTGTGTATAAGTGGAGAAAACGTAAGCTTTTGGAGTGATTGGATTTGGTCTTGTAGATAACTTTAAAGGATAAATCACGAGGGACTGAATGAACTAACTGCAGAAGGTGTTCACAGATTGAAGACTTTGTCATTCCTTGCTCACCTTTCATTAACCAAACCGGGTAGTGTTTAACTACGCGTTGACGGAGATTACGTTTACAGCGTCCAATGTAATCAGCTCCACACGAGTATGCGAATGCGTATATATACATAGAGGTGAACATAAGCGGTAGTTTATCCTTGACGTAACGTTGAATCATCTTTCGGCTGGTAAATACTAAATGTAAGTCAGCTGCATAAAAACATCGTTTAATACATTTAGATAAAAGACTCCTAATTACTTCTGAAATACTGTCACTTTTGATAGCCAAACTCACAAACAGTATCTTCTTTGGCACTGTGATTTGGCTAAGGACAGTTTCTTTCTGGATGTTTCTGTCGATAAACTTTCTAGGATATCCATTAATTGAAGAGAGTTATACAAAGGCTTTCTAACTGTAAGTCGATCGTATCCACAGGGCAAATTTTCCGAATTCTGCAGCGTAGAGAATGGATAAGATTTCTCTTCCCAAGTGATGAAGTTAGTGTACTGCCCTGTAAATGCTGGCTTCCGGTAGATCGAATTTTTTTAACGTGCCGTTTTTTTCCTTTTATCGAGCATCACATCTAAGAAGTGAAATGCTGAGTTCGACTCTTCTTCTATAGTGAAAAGTATAAATGAATGAGAACCATTACATTTTCCAAGAAGCTCGGCAGTTGAACAATTTTCATCACAAATAATATGTATGTATATACAAACTTGATATTATTTCTTTTAATGGTTCCCTCTTCAAGCTCGTCATGAAGACATCCGCTAGGAGAGGTCCTAATGGAGACTTCATGGCGACCCCATCCCTTTGGTTATGGATGACATCATTAAATCTAAACTGCACATTAAGCGTACATCTCAATAAAAGCTGCTTCAGATAGTCGGCACTCCAAAATGTACGCATTCTAGGTCAATGTAATCACATAAATAACAAATAGTTTTTGCTAATGGTATATTTGTAAATAACGAGCAAACATCTAATAAAATCATATGCTTACCGGTCACATTAATTCCATCAACGCAACTGATAAAGTGAAAAGTGTCCGAAAGACTATGTTTACATAGATTTGATCTTACTGGTTCAAGGATCTCAGTGAGCCATTTTGCTGTAGAATGATATGGAGAGTTAAGTATGTTCTATATAGGTCTCAGAGTGACACCATCTTTATGCGCCTTAAGAAGACCATATAAACGAGGGATGGTTGAACCAGGCGGCTTGAGACATTCATGCATATATGAAGTAATAATAGGTTCGTCCTTCAACTTCTTCAAAGTTTTTGACGATTCATTGTCAATACCTTCCATTATATCTTTCTGGTCGGTTGATTTTAAAAGCTTTTCTTCATCGCAAAGAATGATACATAATTTGTTGATGTAATCCTCACAATTTAAAATAACTATGCCCGATCTTTTATCTGGACAAATTAATATTATATCCTTGTTATTCACTAGTTCGTTCAATTGTCTTATATGCTCTTTTGATATCATCTGTCATTGTTTGCACTGCCCTTTTAAGTATTGTTAGTAGCAATACATTATGTCAGACTTGAATTGTTCTAGATCTTCACTAGACGTCGGAAGTAGATTTTGTGTCTGAGATATAAGACTTTTGAGCTGAACCTTTAAATCTAATTCGTCAACTCTGGATGAGATAGTACAAAACTTAAGACAAAGAGGCAGTATTTGCATCTGAATGTCAGAAAAAGTTATATTATGAGAATAATTAAATACATATTTCTCCGGTGAATCCCGAAACTTCATATTAGATTCGGTTGGTTTGCAACTTTTCAATATCTTGATTCTTATATCCTCAGATCTTTTCTTTATCAAGTCGGACATATAGTCTTCGAATAAACTACATTCGGTCTCTGTTAGTTCAAACGAGAAATGCTGTCGTTGGGAAATGTTATTTTCGAGTTCTGGAAGACGTATTTGTGTGGCATCGATCAAATTAAGTGTATGGCGTTTAAGAGTTTGACTATTCGGATAAATGTGATTACGGCGTAATATTTTCCAGTAAAAATTTTTGATATTCACCATTCTTAATGCAGCCTTTGAGAGTATCAATATTAGTATTCGCCTATGCAAGCTTAACAAAATGTCGTAGAAACTCACTCAGTCCGTTCACTGTCACTGGGTTCTTGCAGACTTTCAAATCGCGAAATATACCCAGTAATTCATAAGCAAAAACACAGTTTTTGTTCAGCGAAGAAATATATGTTTTCAAACTGAGAATTTAGAAAAATGAAATTTCACCTGTGCCGAAAAAAATCCTTACATGAACTCGAGTTTCAAGGGAGATTTAACAAGCAGTATTCTCAAGAGAAGGATCACATCATCTCTGAGGAGAACATTCTTTGCAGCATTGCTAAGAATAGTCTTCTCTAGTCTCCTGCTGTTCTTCAGAAGCCTTAGAGACAATATCCCGCTAGTATATGCATATGTCGGTTCACCTACTGCATTGGAGCCAGGTATATAGGTCGTTCGACGCGCATCCTCTCCAAGAGGATTCAAGAATATTATCCAGCGTGGTTGAGAAAAGGCAATAGTGGTGCTATACGAAATGAGATAATAAAACATCCGGTTGATACTGATCATTCCATTTCAACAAACGTCTCTTTACATAAGATTTCTACATGAATACAAGAATGTAATTTCATATTCTCTACTTTGTCCCTCTGTGTGTCCTGAGTACAACTCACTGATCAAACTATTCATATTATTACGTAACTCCCTTTTAACAGCTGTTTGTGACAACTCATCACCTTTGTTACTACACTAGTTTCATTAACACCAAATTTTCTTGACCGTTTTTGTATTAAGTAACTCCACCGAAAACTTACTAATTTTCACCTGTTTAGTTAAAATAACCATAACCAATTGTATTTTTGTTTGACACACTTAATGTACACATATATGTAAAATAACCTTTATATATTTGCGATTGTACAGCTAAGAAAATGAATTCTCCGAAAAGAAACTCTTCACTGAACCACGTGTTTTGTTTTCTGTGTCTGAAAGTTCAGTAATTCCCGGGCTTAATTCCCTGAAACTGTCTACAAGCGCTTTGTCTCCAGGCAAATTACTGTCACTTTAGAATGCTAGAATTCATTATCAGTATAACTGAAGCATAATACACCATAAGGTAACTTTCTTAGAACCTACTGCTTATATGTATAAGTTGAGTATGTAGCTTTCATGTTTTCTTCTTCCTGTAGTCTCACTTCTCGACTGACACGCTTTTTAGGTTCTATCCAACATTAGTGCGCAAATAACTAATATATGTGCGCTTATTTTAAAGCTCACTAAATTGTTAATGATTCTTGTTCTGATTCTGAAAAAAAAGAATATTTTTTTTTATTTTTTATTTACAGCTTGATTCCACACTGTATTTTCGGTACAAGTATGGAATTTTCAGCATGGACATCGGTAGCCCAAATTTTGCAGGCCGACCATAGATATCAGATGTGCGTCGGTGCGGGCTCGAACCTCGGACCATGTGCATGGTCGGCGAGAGTCCTAACCACTGTGCCACCGACGCACAAATACTCACGTTAACTTATCACCGACTACAAACAGTTTGTTCGTATCATGCATATTTTCATGTGAATATAGTTATTGATCCCCAGATATTTATGCTTCTTATATCTGTTGCTTAACGCATATAATTAACATTACATGTATTTGTTTCCTTGATCAATAACATTTTATTCTGACTGTTGCTTTTTCATGTCAATGTCTCTCTCTGTGTGTGTATTTTCAGGAAACACTTTGTTGATGAATTAGTCAATCAAAACAAGAATGTAAGACTCATTTTTCAAGGCCGTGAACTGTTAGATGTAGTACCAGACGAATCAAGATTCAACAATGTGAGATACAAACGTCGACGATTATGTGATTATGGTATAACTGAAGGCTCAACAATTCATTGTTTGATCACAGCTTCAGTTTCGTCATCGAATGTCAACAGGCCAGTAAATGATACAGAGAATTCAGGACGTAATACGGGTTTTCCAGGTGCATCTAGTGATTCAATGCTAACTGAATTTGATATGGGTACTCGACTTATGAAGCCATTATTTGCCTTTCTTTTACTTTTCACATGGTTTTTTAGAATTGCTTACAGACAATATTTTAATTCTGTCTCCACATTCGCTTTAGTGGCGTTGACAGTCTTTTTTTGTGGTGCTGTATTTACTGTTAGTCTGGTTAATGCTGCCTCAACATTTGCTTCACTATTTGGTATTTCACTTACAGACAATAATGCGTCAAATTGGCAGTCAGATAATGATGATGCTAACAATGCTAATCATCCTTCGCATCAGAATGATGTTCAAGTTGTAACTGTCACTATGATAGCACGACGTATTCCATCAGAAGCATCTGCTAATCAGGTGAATAATTCAGCTTTGTCTTTTAATGAAACACCTAATGATAGGGATAATAATCCAGTTGTTATAAATGAGGCAACAAGTGAATTTCAGACAAGACCAGACTAAATAATAATAAAATGTTTCCTTGCCACTCTTGAATCTTTCTTTCTATTTAATTTTTGTTGAAGTGGTTTTGTGATTGTGTTGCATTACATCATGCCAGAATTCCGGTTCTTTGAACTTACCTTTTTTCCTGTCTTCAAAGTCCAGAGATGCAGTTTCTTTTCTCTTGTATATATGATTCACAGTGATATCACACTAACTCTTGACTTTACTGTTAAATATATAATTTAAAGAAAACAATTATTTTGATTACTACTTACTAATTGCAACAAGAACAAAGGAGTCTTGATAATTGTATACGACTCATATCACTGTTCGATGTTCGGCTTATTATTACAAATAATCTTAGCTGTAATTCACAGATAAGGGGACCTAAGTTTCACTCTGCAAACATTTGCTTTTAGTTTTGAACATTTTGTAATTTGGCGAAACAATAGCAGATTTATCAAGAATTTAAAACGGGAATAAATACGGAAAAAAACAAATCTATTCACAAACTGTTATAGTACCAAAATATGTAAAGTAATCACCAAATAAGATTTGTAGTTTGCCAGTATTAAAAGTTACTACACCTTTATTTGTCTCTCTGTCTGTTTTCGACATAGAACTTTGCACAAATGTGCGGAAGTTCAAGTCGCCACATTCCGTGTAGCACGCGAAGCAAGAGAAGAAAGTACAAGAAAAGCATAATAGAAACAGTGAGCAGAGGTGTGAGACAAAGGAGTAATAAAGAAAAACAAAACAGTTTCATTGGAGATCATAAGTCACAAGGAGTGGATGCATCTGCGCCACTGAGAACGATTTTGAGCCATGTCACCAATTGTTTCCAACCATAGATTTTTACCGTCCCGAGGACCCCAGCCTGGAAGTCTACACCTTTCTACGTGGCTTAGACCAACTGTTGTGGATTTCATTGACTGATGCCAAGTTTTTGTTTGACCGCCGCTAGCTTTTTTCCAGCCTGACCCTATATCCGCTAACATTGCTCGTCGAGGGAGGCGATGGCTTGGCATACGTAACACATGTCCTAACCATCTCAGTCTTTGTAGCTTCACGACTTCGTCGATTGATTTCCCCTGTTTACCTAGAACTCTACGCCTAACCTCCATGTTGCTCACCTTATTATGCCACTTTACACGGGAAATAGAGCGCAGTCACAGCTAGTCTTTTCATGTCTTCCACTCTCAGTGGCCAGGTCTCACAACCATAAAGGAGGACGGAGCGGACTGATGAGCAGTACACCCGCCCTTTGGTCGATAGTCGAACATCTCGTCTACGCCAGAGTCGGCGTAAACTAACAAATGCGAAACGAGCCCCTTGTATTCGTGCTGAGATTTCGTCAGAGATCAGCCCGTTGGGGCTGATGGTACTTCCCAAATAAGTGAAGCGGTCAACGTGCTCTACCACTTCACTTCCTATTTTTAAACTAGGCGTCGATGTAGTCCAGTCCTGTAACATCATCTTGCATTTGGCGGGAGCGAATCGCATGCCAAACATTCGTAGATTGCGGCTCAAGGTGTTTAGAAGACTCTGCATTTCGTCAGCGTCTTCGCCTAGAAGGACTATATCGTCTGCATATTCCAAGTCAACGAGATTATTCCCCGGTAGCAAGTCAATCCCTGAGTCGCTGAAGTCACCTAGGGTTAAGTCCATTAACACATCTATGATGAAGTTGAATAGAAAAGGAGATAATGGGCATCCTTGACGGACACCACTGGTCGTCATCAGTTCAGATGACAGCTCGCCGTAAGCCCTCACCTGGCTGTATGAGTACGAGTAGAGTGCCTTAATCAGTGCAATATATTTTCTCGGAATTCCCTTTACAGCCAAGCATCTCCAGAGAACTTCCCGATCGACAGAGTCGAATGCTGCCTTTAGGTCAAGAAATATAATGACTGTTGGACGCCGGTAGGAATGCCTATGTTCTAGAATCTGTCGGAGGGTGAAGATATGATCAATACACCCTCTTCCTGGTCTAAAGCCTGCCTGGCTCTCTCGTGTTTGTGCTTCCCGAGCACCACTCAGTCTACGCATGATTATTGAGCCTAAGACTTTAGATACTATATTAGTCAAGCTAATCCCTCTGTGATTATCACAGGAAGACTTGTCTCCCTTCTTGTATATGGGGATAATCAGTGACTTACACCAACCCGATGGGACTTCTTCTGATTCCCAGACGCTGCCTAGTACCTCAGTTAATCCGGACAGTAAGCTGTCTCCACCGTACTTAAATACCTCTGGAGTCATTCCATCAGGTCCCGCTGCTTTGCCTAGTTTCAGATTGGTGACAGCTTTAGTAACCTCAGTTAGTGACGGAGGACCTGTGTTTATATCCCATTCAGGGAGGTGTTGGATGCTCGGAAGGTTGAGCGTGGCTGTGGGCAAATTAAACTGCTCCTCATAATGCTCTTTCCAACGATCCAGTCGTCTATCCTGGGAGCTAATTATAGTGCCATTTTTTTCCGAGATTGTCTCACTGATGATTTGTCTTCTCCCACCCGTTTCCCTGATGAGTCCAAAGAGTTGCCTGGTGTTGCCTATCCTCGAAGCTTTCTCCATCTCTTTGGCTTTTGTCGCCCACCACTGTTCACGGTCCTTGCGGAGACTTTTCGTAAGTTTCCTCTTGTGCAGCTTTCGCTCCTCATTGAATTCGGAGCTCGCCGGAATAAGTCTTCTAGCATCTATCAGTTCGGATGAGGCGGTGGAGATCCAGTGGTTTTTACTCACCTTTGGGTTTACCTTATTCACAGCTTTTACAGCTGTATCTATGGCTGCCTGGATATTTTTCCAAGCTTCTTCAGGGTGAGCACAGCTGTCGAACACAGATATGTGTTTAGCTAGTTCTTCCTCAAATACGGATTTAGTTTCCTGATCGAGCTGGGGACGTGATGGTTTTACCGCCAGCTGTTTCCTACGTCCGTTCAGTCGTAAGCACACCCGAGCGCGGACCAGTGCATGGTCGGTATCTACGCACGTGTTCCAGAAGGAGCGACAATCTCCTACCGACCCACGCCAACGATAGCTTATTGCTATGTGGTCTATTTGTGTCCAGCGTTGGTTTGATGAAGGGGGTCTCCAAGTCAAACAGTGTCTCTCCTTGTGTTTGAAGTTAGTGCTTACAAGAAACAAATGATTATCAGAGCAGAACTGTAGGAGACGGTCACCGTTGTCGGTTCGCTGGCACGGAACTCCATAGGTGCCACCGACATCCTTCTCAGATTGACACAATTTCCCTACTTGAGCGTTAAAGTCACCAGCTAGAACGACTATGTCTGAGCGTTTAGCCTTTCGCACCAAACTAGACAGCTTTTGGTAGAACTCATCCTTCGTTTCATCTGAACTGCAGTCAGTGGGGGCGTAGGCGGAGATTACGAAAAGGCATCGGCGAGTAGTGCAGTCCTTCCTCCTTCTTACTGATCCGTTCAGGCGGACAGCACACATTCGGCTATCTACCGGGATCCAGTCAAGCAATGTCTTTTCTGCCCTAGTACTCAAAGCTATCCCTACGCCAGCTAATCCTCGTGAACTAGCTGTGGCATCTCCTGACACCCTCAAGGTGAATTTTGCAGATTCAACCTGTTGGCCAGGTGGGGTTAGGTGAATAACCACACTTGGGTCTTGTATGCGTGTTTCTGAAACACAGCATACATCAATGGCTCGTGATGCCAGGGTCTTGGCTAGTGATGCTTGTTGTCCTATTTGGCAAAGTGTCCTAACATTAAGAGCTCCTATATGAAATTGGTGGCGCGGCTTTAAGAGGCTGTCGGTGGTGGTTTTTTGGCTTCCATCGTTTTTAGTGGACGCAGAGTGGAGAGGAAGTGGAGAGCTATCAAGTCGAGGAGTTGCATCAGTGGAAGGAAGGCAAGGAAATGGAGATGAAGACAAAGATGAGTGAGGATTAGAGAGGTTTCGTGTGCATTTCGGATTGTGAGGGCGATTGTTACTTCCCGGCTGCCCACACCGTGGAAGTTGGTTGCGTGACCGCAGAGCCCAGGGGACAACTGCTTGAGGCCGGTCACACGCGGCCTGTTTTTGTTTGTTCTTTTTTGTTTGGTGTGTCTCAGTAGCATATTTATCACTCCCGCCCTGTGACACGGCAGCAGGAAGCGCGGTCGTTGTTAATCCGGGCCACGGCCGATCCGGCATGAAATTTTGTGATTTTGTATTGGACATGATGTTGGATTGGGTAGCTGCTTTTTGTTTAACCGCTATCCAAACAACCTGCCTGGCATGGTAGTACCTCAAGAGACATAAGTCTCAGCCAGTATAGCTTGAATAGATCATTGCGGTGTTCAAGCCCGACCACCACGTCAAGGTAGCAGCTTTCGGTCGGGACACCTTTATTTAGCCGCACGTCTTATTTTCTACACGATCGATGATGATTCCTCAACTGAAAGGTGAAGTACCTAGACTCACCACTTTTTATTGTATCAACCAGTTCAACTGCGCTTGTTGAGCGAGTGATATTGGCTGTTGCCGCATCATCCTGGAGAGAATCAAACAAGCCCTGGGTAAAAACTTCTACCGGAACAGGCTGGATTCAGGAGAAACAAGTCATTTATTGATTGAACAAAGCTTGGAATGGCAGCCACCTCTTTATCTCAATTTTATTGACTCTGAAAAGGCCTTCGACAGCGTCTATTGAAGTCCCGCCGACAATTATACATCTCATCCAACAGTTGTACGACAATTCTGAATGCCAAGTAATCCACAACGGGAAATTCACGGATCCTTCGAAGTGAAGACGGGAGTAATACAAGCCGGCTGCATACCATCTACAATGATTTTCCTGATTGCGGTGGACTGGATAACGCGACAGACAGCGAGCAGCGAGGAAACAGGCATAAAATGGACTCACAAAAAACTTGGAGGATCTGAACTTCGCTGATGATATATGTCTGATTTCCCACAAACTGGAAGATATGCAAGTGAAGAGCAACAAGCTGGCAGAAGAAACATCAAAGATAGGACTTCAGGTGAACATAGAGAGAATAGAAGTGATG